CTTTCCGTCTCGCCGGCAAGAACGACGCGGGAGGACAAGTCAGGATCCTCAGTTTATAGTTTATTTGAAGACTGAAGACCAAAGACGCCGAGAAGTGGGAGAGCTGTTGCTTATATATGCCCCAAAGGTCCCATTTATGATGTATAAGAAGCGGATTGGTTGCTGGAGATCATAAGATGGTTGCTGGGATACCGGCGCCATCTTGTAATGGCGGCGGAGGCTGTGGCTCTCCACATCAGATCCCATGGAACTGGAGTTACGGATGGTTGTTAGCCACCATGTGAGTGCTGGGATTTAAACCCAGGTCTTCTGAAAGAACCACCCCATACTTTTATTTATTTTAATAGCAATGTTATATTAATGGTATAATAAATATCTGACCCAATCTCCTAAAATGAAACCTTGACAACAATTTTCATCAGTTCCTAAAGTTCATGAATTCACCTGTTTTTCTCTTTTTCCAGTTTGAAGTAAGTATTATCCTGAGCCATGTGTTCACCATTCCCTTGCTTTTTTCTTTTTGAGACAGGGTCTCCCTGTAGCCCCTGCTGGCCTGGAACTGACTGTGTAGACCAGGCTGGCTTTGATCTCACAGAGATCTGCCTGTCTCTGTCTCCTGAGTGCTGGGATTAAAGGCATGTGCCACCACACTTGTCTTCCTTAGTTTTTATATAGCTCCATTGTTATGGATATATATTTTTAAGCAATAGTTTAAAATTTTAGCTATTTTTGTTTTTAAAAACAATAAGTTTATCATGATATATATATGTGTGTAAAAGTTAGGTTTTTCTATTAATATTATATGGACAAGATTCTTTTTGTATTGTTGTCTGTCACCTCTTGTTTGCTTAATCATTTATATAATGTTATCTTGTGTGAATATATCACATTTTGTCTGTCCACTATCTCATTGATGAACATGGGTTCTTTCCAAGTTTTAGCTGCTGTGAGCAATGTTTGACATGATCTATGTTTTATGTGTGTGTAACTTTTAAATTTGATTCTTCAGGATTTTGAAAATTGACCATTGGAAAATAATTTATGTCAAATTATGTTATTAAGGTTTGATTTACTTGAAACAAGCATAGGATGAACTAGGTTACTAATTTTTTTATAGTGGGGTAATATATACGTTATTATGCCAACATTTTATGCCTGATTATATATTTCATAATTGTTAGGGATTAAACATGCACCGTATTTCTGTGGTTATATATACATTTTTTTTTTCTTTTTACATTAGCCTAGCTTACATTGAAAAACGTCAGAGAAGCCAAGTATGTTGGGATATACCTATAATCCTAGCACACAGAAGATGGAAACAGGAGGATCAGACATTAAAAAAGCCCTGATGCTGTGGACTCTTTTGTTTATTCTCATTTCTGAATACAATGTAATTCAGAAGCTAGAGTGCTTTAAAAATTTTTGGTTTTGGTTGTTTTATGTGTATGAGTGTTTTGCCTTCATGTATTAAGTACACCCATGCGCAATGTCTACGGGGGCCAGAAGAAGCACCAAAACACCTGGAACTAGAGTTCTGGAGGATGATTGTTACCTACCATTTGGGTGCTGGTAACTGAATCCCAATCCTCTGCAAGAGCAGCCAGTGCTCTTAACTGCTGAGCCATCTCTCCAGCCCCTATTGTTTTAAGTCATTTCTTGCCAATGGAAGAATGAAACACCTTTATATTTGTCATGAAAAAAACATCACAAGTATGAATTTCATTTTTAGAAGAAATCTTAATCTTTAAAATATTTTATTTTTATGTATATCATGTGCCTGCATGTATCTAAGTGTACCATGTAAATGCAGTGCCCATGGAGGCCAGAAGAGGGAGTTAGATCCCCTGGAACTGAAGTTATAGATGGCTCCTAGCAGCCATGTGGATACTGAGAACTGAAGCTGGGTCCTCTGCAAGAGCAGCCAGTGCTTTTAACATCTGAGCCATCTCTCCAGCTCCTAAAGTCTTCATTTTTAATTGTGGGAGAATTTTCAAACTTTGATTTTCTTAAATATGAATCCTATCTTTAAGCATTATATAACTATATTTACCAAGTATAATGTCTTACATGACTTGAGAGATCATGCTTGTATGCCCTCAAATGCTAACTTACTTTATGGTTACATAAAAGGAAAATTGAAACTATATGTCTATAAAATATACACTCCACAAATCTTGATATTTTAAAAATATTTTATTTATTATTTTTATTTTATGTATATGCATGTATTGCCTGCATGTAGGTAAGTGCACTCATGTCGTGCAATGC